GAGGGAATCTCCAGGTCTTCTCACATCCCCTCCAGACTCCACCAACTGGACCTCAGATTGGGAACCTGAAAGAAGAGCATTAGTAAAATGAGTTCTGTTACCTATAAAGAGAGAGAAATGGAAGAGCCTGGTGTGTATATGAATAAATTTACCTCTGAGAACTGCTAGTAAAAATGTCAAATATAGACAAAATACCATTTTCACTTGGATGATTTGAGGGGGATTGTATAGCAAGTATTCAGGCACTCATGTCCTCTTTAAGTTTCTGCTTGCAAGCTGGGGAGAAAGGTGGCCTGGCTTATTTAAAGAGAAAGTTGTCTTGCAATTTACATATCCCTCAAAATAAAAGAGCCTCTCATGCCTTTATTCTTCTCTGTTCCATGGACATATACTGAAGACATATTTTGGTAATGATTTGCAAGCAGTTAGAGTATAAGAGGTGGGGATGAATGATTATGCAGGATGAAAGGGAGATTTCTTTAACTTCGCAAAACAATGCATCACGCTGTCTCATCGATTATGGAAAGCTTTTCCAAAAATCTCCTTTCCAAAGCGAAATAGAAAAATGCTAATGCAGCATTTTTTTTAGTTGGGGTGAAAAAATTGAAATAAACAGGAATGCTGCCATTTGCGTTTACAAATTTTGGAAACCGTTTTTTACATAAGCATGATTTGTTATAATAATTAGATGTGTATTTGTTTTCATGAATTAATTAGATTTGGACCTCCAACTAAGAGAAAGGCACGAGTTGCACCTACCATTGATGAGTTCCTCAACTCAGAAAGTCAAAAATGAAACAATCACTCATTATTTCAATGGACTGAGAAATGGGAATAAATCCCACTGCATCCTAAAATCAATTCAGTCTGGACTACACTTAGAAAAAAGAGGATGGGAGTGAACTCTTCTTTGGTTTGCAGAGAGAACTGAGCAAGTTCAGAGAGTTTTCAAGAAAAAACAACAACAGGGGAATTAATCAGTCTCAGAAGTAAAATCCAGTGTTAATACTGTACAACCTTGGGATTTGCTCCTTATTTATTTATTTATTAATTATTAAATTTGTATGCTGCCCATCTCCCTCCAGTGGGTGACTCTGGGTGGCTCACAGTTAAAATCAGAAACCCCATCAACAATTAAAAATCCCCCATAAATTGTTAAAATAAATTAATCCATTAAAAATCAAATATAGACAGCCAACCCTGTACATTCAGTGGGATTTTGCAGATGGAACTGCCCCCTACTTCCAAACAGTTGGAGGATGGAAGTAGGCATACGCTCTACAAGCAAATCCTTCTAATAGGGGAAATGAGGCTAAAGGGAGGTGACTGAGCCCCAGGAGACGTAAATATGTCTTGTAAGAAAGGTGGGATGAAGACAAAGCTTCTATTTTACTTGTTCATAAGAAACAGAGTTGGAAATATTATTAAAGGGTTTTTTATGGGAGGGGCATACTTCTTATGACTTCCCAAACTCATAGAATCATGGAAATGATATTCTAAATGAACACCCACAAAGGAATATTTAGATAGCCACCCTAGGATGATAGAATAGGCTTCCCAGATTGTGGCAAACCATTGGCTTCTTTTATCCTAGTTAGTTAGAAGAAACAGAAATAATTAGAATCAGGCATCACACTAAACCATAAGGCTTTTTTGTTGTACTTTCCCACGACCCTTAGAAACTAAACATTAAAAACCCAAACTCTGTCACTAGGGCTTTTTACCCTCTGTGACCTGCCTAATGTTTCTTTTTCTTGCATAATGGTTCATGGTTCATGGTTTGGAAACCACAGTTGGTTTTCTTCAAGGCATGAAGTAAAAATCAAACAAAACCCAATTTTGTTGAGCAATCTTTGAGTAGGCTGAGAAATTATTTTATCTATTCCAATGAGTTCTACCTGCTGAACATATAGAAAAGGTCTCTGTCTTGGCTTTAAAAAAGAACTGTAGGGAAGTTTCTTGAGTGTTAAATTCTCTGTCCAGCATCCCCAGTCTAGTATACATCACTGGTATTTCAAGTAGTCTCCAATCCAACTGGATCAGACTCTGCTTAATGTTTCAAGATTATTCACGGTTTAATAACTCTGGCAACCTTTTTTGTTGTACTTTCCCACAACCCTTAGAAACTAAACATCAAAAACCCAAACTCTGTCACTAGGGCTTTTTACCCTCTGTGACCTGCCTAATGTTTCTTTTTCTTGCATAAGGAACTTTTGAAAATGGATGGAGAAAACTGAACACACACAAATGCTGTCAGAGCTGTAGTCAGAAAAGTAATAGGAAAGCTTCTGCAAGGAATATTTGTCAAAAAAGCAAAAATGGCTGAACATAATGCCCACTATGTTATATGGAAGTGAGAATTAGGAATGTTAGGAAAAAACAAAAAGCTAAGTTGAATGCAGTGGGGAAATGCAGTTCCTTTGAAATCTTCGAAGGCTCAACATTTTTACATGCAGATATAAATGTGGGGGATATTAGGAGTGTATGTAATAAAACATAGACAGGGAAGTTCAGAAATGAATAGGGGCTGAATGGATGTGGTGGACTGAAAATAAAAGGGAGTGTCCAGTGCAAAAGAACTATGTTGAGGTGGGTGAGTCATTCAGAAGGAATGAATGAATATCAAATTACAAAACAAAATAGGAAAGAAGAGTGAAAAGACCAAGAGGAAGAGAAGACCAAGAAACATTTGCTTGGATGGAGTCAATGAGATCCTCAAAAAAGAGAAAGAGGAGTATAAAGAACGTTGTCACATTTGCCATACTATGGAGTGGAAACAATGATGGCTTGCAGAGATAGAAGATATGGAGGGCTGTAATGAATAACGTTTCTATAAACTAGGTTTAACTATGTTTCTTCTTCTTTTTCTGCTCCATATCCTGCATTTGTGAATGTGAAGAGGTGATGTCAGGTCTAGAATTCTGAGAAAAGAGTTTTCACCCTAATGAAGAAATGGAGGACTTTTTGAGGTCTTATCAACCTAAGGTGCTTCAGTGAGAACAGGAGATACGGAACCAAACCAGCAAATGCTCCAAGATGCAAAATGTCCCTCCTGGTTCAGTTCAAAAAGGGAACATCTCCTAGGAGAGTTCTTCTGAAGGAATGGGTTTTTGCTTGATTTTAGAGTCACTTCTTCTCATTGGGCCCCTCACACAATAATAGACTGCAGAGTCCTCACAATTCAGGTGGTTCATTTGCAGATACAGCTGTCTACTGGAATTATCCCTGAAGATGATGAACTGTCCCTTCACTTTGTCTGAATAGTAAGTGCTAGATGATATATAGATATATATGTGCAAGCCAATCTGGTCCTTTCCCAGAAGCCTGTCTCACCCAGGTCATGTAATAGCTGCTGAATGCAAAGCCAGAGGCTTGGCAGAAGGGACAGAGGGATTCTGCAGGACTTTTCACATCCCCTCCAGACTCCATCAGCTGACTTTCTGACTGCATACCTGGGTTTTTTTGTTTTTGTTTTTAAAGAGGGGGGATGTTTTAATGAGCTTTCCTGTATACTGGCACAAAAATTGGAAAGGACTTCTGTATAGAGGGAAAAATTACCTTTGTGGACCACCAGTAAGGATACCAAGCTCAGCTGAAGGATCGTTTTTGTTCACTCTGATGATTTGAAGGGGAAAGTGCACAAATTTTGTGTTTGGTGGTATAGCTTCAAAAGAATACAGCTAATTTAAACAGAAAGCTCTCCCTGAATTAACATATCCCTCATGATAAAAGTTCTACTCCCTCCTTTGATCTTCCAGACTTATTTCAACATATATCAGAGACATAATTTGGATATGATGTCCTAAGAGCAGTCAAGACACAAATTTATGCTTGTTGTTACGTGCAAGAAATGGGCTACATAGAGTAAACTAGATAGAATTATTTATGTAGACATATTACAGACAACATTAAAGGGATAACACATCTAGGTTCTTAAAGTCTGTTAAACTATTGTTTCTTTATTGAGGATTCTCAATAATAAGTACTGGTGTTGTTCTTGATTTGTTCTTGATTTTATTATACATCTCTTATGGTTCTGGTTTTAATATTATAACTGCCTAAAGTCAAATAAGTAACAACATCATTTCATTTTGGTCATTGTCTCATCCCCATTACATCAACCCATCCCACCCGGTCAGGCAGAAGTTGTGGATCCAGTCAGCGAGGGAATGTCACCTGGCAGGGCCCAGGAAGAGAGCCTTCTCTGCCGTTGCCCCCACCCTTTGGAATATTCTCTCCCCAGAAGTGCAGTGGGCCCCTACCCTCCCAGCTTTCTGAAAAGGCTTAAAGACCTGGCTCTGTCAGTGTGCATGGGGTGATATGGGCTCTACTTCCTAGTGAGATGGGCGGTGACCAAAATATTTATTTATATATAAAAATAATATATATTGGCCACATAATACCTTGGAGAAAAGTCTGGCAATATAATATATTGATTAGAATAAAAAGGGCAATGCTTCTCTATCGTGGCATAAGCTCTTTGCTCAGGGATTGGAAATACAGCTTCGCCTAAAATTCAAACAGAAGGTCTGGGAAGGAAACAACTCATGAAGTCTTGAAGATCCAAAAAGGTGGTCAGATGTAGGTTGAGGGCCTGTCATCATGGTTCAGTGAAAGTGCTCTCCATCCATCCTTGACTCAGCAAAAAACTCTCTTGGACACCATTTCTTATCTCTATTGTCCCTCCCACTCCTGTCTCTATGACCTTTGACCTCAGTCATTTTCAGTTGCCAGACTTTTCTCCAAGGTATTATGTGGCCAAGCCTGAGTTAACACCCCTTGAGTTTTCCTTTGGAGAATTTGAAATAAAGAGGATATTATTTTAACCCTGGTAGAGCTGAGAACAACTTAGGTCTGTCTCATTCATAGGCAGGCAAGGAAGACAGAGGAAAAGTGGGGGAAAGGATTGCTGGGGTTGTTTGTCCCATGGGTTGATAGAAGAGAAGAGAAGATTTAAATGGAATAAAATACAGAAGCTGAAATGGTTGGAGGTACCTGTGGAACCTCTGTTCTGGCTGCTTTTCAGGAAAAAAATAGAAAACTGATGGAGACCCATTTATGTATCATATGTTTAAGTATTCCAGCTTCATGCAGATACTGGATGGAACTAGGTATTGAACAATCTCAATCAGTATTTCTGCTCTTGTGAAATTCTAAAAGGCTAAGATATCTGAAACGGTGTTGCACAGAAGCATTTTGTAGTTAATCAGTATATAGCAGAGGGTGTTACTTAGTAGAGAGTGCCACAGATTGAGGCTTCTTATATAATGATATTAAAATTAACCCTCTATAAAGGTTTGTTTGAACCTCTAAGACTTCCTTTTGTGTATGTCTTTTACTTTACATCTTTCTTTAGATGGACCCCTTTTAATTCAGGCAGATTTTGTGAGTCTCTTTCATGTTTCACCAAGAACTACTATGTAGGCAAGAGAGAAGTTATGGAGAACCTGAGCAATTTAGCCTGCTGGAGAAAAATGAACTTGAACATGAGGAATTGTTCAGAGCCCTTGAGAAATCAGTTCCTCAAAGGACCAGTACTGTTTTCATCTCACATGTTTATTATAATCTCTATTTTAGCCTCATGGAAGCACCTGGAGATGTAGGCAAGTTCACAGCTACACCTGCAGTTCTTATTTCAATCATGGCCAGAGATCATATTGTGTGCTCTCTGTACCATTATTGTGGCCGGAGATGCAAAGGTTCCCCTCACCCTCAATTCAAGAAGAGAATATCTCTTTGGGGTTCTAATTTTGTTCATTTATATGGGTCTCTAATGAAATTTTAAGCTTTTTAAAAAACACATACTACTGTATTCTACTGCCCTGACATTTCCTTCTTCTACCCAACCCAAGTGTTAACCAGGTTCCCTGCAGCTAATCCAAGATCAGCTCTGGGGAACCACTTGTTATGATGGAGATTTATCAGCTGTTTCTCATTCCAATTACACAAATTCAACTTTCTGTGACTGAATCAACTTAAAGAGCTGCTCAGAGGAAGAGAAGCTTCTTGCTTGGCTTCAGATTCACTTCCTCTCACTGTGTCTCTCGCACAGTAATAGACTCCTGTGTCCTCTGGCTTCAGGTTGTTCATTTGCAAGTAGAGTTGGCTTTTAGAATTGTCCCTGGAGATGGTGAAGCGTCCCTTGACTTTGTCTGAGTAGTAAGTGGTAGTTGTATCTATCCTTGCCACCCATTCCAGTCCTTTCCCTGGATACTGTCTCACCCAGTACATGGAATAGCTGCTGAAGGTGAATCCAGAGCCTTGGCAGGAGAGATGAAGGGAGCCTCCAGGTCTTCTCACATCCCCTCCAGAATCCACCAACTGGACCTCAGACTGGATGCCTAAAAAGAAAGGATTAAAAAAAAATAGACTCATGTATATATAAGAATATATAAAAGAAGTTAAACTCAATATAGAGGGAAGAATTACCTCTGAGGACTGCTACTAAGGACACCAAGTTTAGCCACAGGATCATTTTTGCTCTCTCTAATGAATTGAGGGAAATTGATAAGAAAAGGATTTGGGAAAGTGCACAGACTTTGTGTTGGTGGGTGTGGCCTGAGAAGGGAAACCATGGGGCTCCTTTAAAGGGGAAATTGTGCCCTCATTTACATATCACTTGGGATAAAAGAGCCCCTTAGGGCATTGATCTCATAGACATCTTTGCACATAACTTACATGGGTGATTTTCAAATCACATTCCAGTCCTAAGAAAAGTGAGGGCAGGATTTTTTTTCCCCCATCAGTTCATTGGAGAAAGGACAGGTTTGCTTTAGAGCAAGTAGAACAAAGACATGCAAAATTTTGCAGCTTCTCAAAAAGATTCCAGGTAACAGAGAATAAGCGAGCATGAAGCCTTGTCTAAACAAACCCATTAAAGAGAGGCTATAAAAAGGCAAACTTATCTGAGTCAGGTAGTTTTGTACACTATTGCTTACTATGCTTTTTTTATTAAAAAAAAAACCAAATATATTAAGTGGCGATTAAACCTTGTTGAACAATTTGTAAGCCGCCATTGTTGTGTCCAGCTGACTCACAAAATCAGACTCAGATTAATCATCTGATGACCAAATACACTCTCTCAGTTGAATGAGAAAGATACAGTAAATAACTCCTGTTATATTCTCCAAAAAAATCAGTTTCTTCTACATTTATGAAATCACATCTGTTTTAAACTCAGACATGGTTTCAAAGTGAGGATTATAGTCTCATGAGAAGTTAAATTCTTTTGATTCCTTTGAGGGAACTTTGAACCAACAATTAACAGAAGGTATAATCAACCTCAGAAACGAGACCACATTTGGTTTTATTTCCTTGCCCACAGCTCCCCCATGGCCAACGGGACTAAGTGTGATAGTACTGCCCCCGGTGTAAGTCATGAGGAAGAGAGGCAGTCATCTAATTCCCCAAGAGATTCTTGTGTTTCAGGAAGGGAAGTGAAACTGAGAAAAATGGAAGGATCTCCAGGGGATTTAGAAAGTCTGGTGAGAAATCCAAAGCTGCTCTTCTCTTTCCTGATAGGAAATCAATTTGATTATTTGGTCTATGACCAGTTTTATTTTCTGTGGGTATGGGAGTGTTATTTTTTCCCCCTAAATTCAGGGACAGTCACTTATGACCTGGTCAACTAACGACTTGACTGTTCCACCATGATGTACTGTATGTGGGGCTGCCCTTGAACACCACCCATTAGCTTCAAAATGCAGCAGCACATATGTTGATGGGTTTGCCTCTCTGTCCCTATAGAATATCCCTGCTTCACAAGCTGCACGGTTTGCCAGTTTGATTCCAGCTGTGATTCAAAGTACTGATCATTACCTATCAGCACTAAATGCTTTGGGTATGGTTACTTGAAGGACCATCTGTCTCTGATAGTGTCAGCCTGGCTGATCTGATCCAGCAGGGTTGTCATGCTCAGGATTCCTTCAATTGAGGAAGGGATCTATTAGGGCCCCAGAAGTGCACCTTCTCAGTCACCACACCTGCCCTCTGGAATGAGGTTGACCCTCAGATTTGTTTGTTTGTTTTTATCAATTCTTGTTAATGAAGATATCAACAAGAGTAAAAGACAGTACAAGCTAAAATCTAAAGGAATTGAAAAATAGAAAGGAAAGACAAAACGTACAGAGAGAAAAAAGAAAAAAGAAAAAGAAAAAAGAATAATTAAAGAAGTGACTTCCAATCTTCTTTACAGCAAGTGCAGGCAAACCTTAAGTCTTTCCACCTCCTTTAAAGTTACATTACATAGTTCACTTGTTCCCAGATTCAAACCCATATCCTTCCACAAATCCAAAGATCATTAACATTTCTGTCCAATGTCAGCAAAAAGTCCATAAAGGGTTTCCAGAATTTTATACAAATATTTCTTATTTTAACTCTGATCAAACAAGTCAGCTTTATATTCTTTTCTTTTGCTCCATATTCTGACATTCGTGATCCTTAAATTAACAATGAGGTGCTGTTGTAGGAATTGATCTCCATCCAAATGTTCTTTCTCCCATATCAAACATTTTCACAAGACTTTCACTGCCCTCTTTTGTAAGCCCAGTAACAGAACCTTTCCCAGCTCATATTTCATCTCTTCAATTTATATTTGCATTTCCTCTCCAATTGCCAACTTTGTCTTATAGTCCACCATTTCTGTTTTATTTTCCTTTGTTTCTGCATAAACTATAGTTTGTTTTACTGTTATGCTGTCATCCTGCAGATTCTTCCAAATTCTTCTTCTTCTTCATGTCTTTCATTTCTTTCTTTAGATCTCTTTTGAATAAGAGAGGGGGATCGAATGTATATTATATTAGAAGGAAGGAAAAAGCAGCAATGTTTTGGAAGAATATTAAACTAAGAGTTGGTGATACTGATAGAATGAAATGGGATTGAATTGCAAAATAATTTGAAAAAGGAGGAAACATGTTGGAAATTCCAGGGTTTCAACCAAACCTGTCTCGCACGAGCACAAACGGAGAGGTAGCTCTGCTGCAGCCTAGCTTTGTTGCTCTGTGTGGGAGGGGCTTGGAGCCCACCTTTTTGTCTCCTGTTTCCTTCACCTGCCTTCTCTTTTCTCTTTGCCTCATGGCCTAGCATGAGGCATGAGGGAATCCTCCCTCCTCCTCCTGGCTTTCTTACCTCCATGTAGGTTGCCTACATTCAGAAGTATGTAGGTTTCGTCCAAACTTATTACTCACATGCACAGGACCATTTCTACCAGGAAACTGCATTGTATGAAGATCTGCAAATTAAACCGTGAGCTAACTTTTATTTCTGTTTAATTTATGTGTAGAGAGTGTTTGTTTTGAACTGAACTTAGTCAAGCCTTTGTGCAAGTTTGAATGCTTTTACTCTGCTAAAATAAACCACAAAAACTAGCTGAAGGGTATGTGGGATCTTCTGTTACTAACATTTCAGAACCCCAACAAAATGCTGGGAAGGAATCCATATTGCTCCCTCTAATGATATTTTAACTTTGTTTTTTAATTTTCCAGTTCATTCTACTTCTCTAAGATTTCCTTCTTGTCCTCCATACAAGGGGCCAAGTTCCCTGCTACTAATTCTAAGATCAACTCTGTGCTTTCAGTTGCTATGACAGAGATTTCTCAGGTCTTTCTCAATTCTAGTACACAAATTCAAACTTCTGTGACAGAATCAACTTGAAGAGCTGCTCTGAGGAAGGGAAGGTTCTTGCTTGGCTTCAGATTCACTTCCTCTCACTGTGTATCTAGCACAGTAATAAAGACCTGTGTCTTCTGGCTTCAAGTTGTTCATTTGCAAATAGAGTTGGCTTCTGGAATTGTCTCGGGAGATGATGAACTGTCCTTTCACTTTATCTGAATAATGAATAGAACTTGAATCGTTCTTTATATCTCCAAACCATTCCAGTCCTTTCCCTGGATACTGTCTCACCCAGTTCATCCATTTGCTGCTGAAGGTGAATCCAGAGGCTTGGCAGGAGAGACAGAGAGATTCTCCAGGCCTTTTCACATCCCCTCCAGACTCCACCAACTGGACTTCACATTGGATACCTAAAACGAAAGAAGTTTCAGTGAGCTCTCCTACAGAGAACAAGAAAAAATAGGAAAGAAATCTACAGGGAAGAAACAATTACCTCTGAGGACTGCTAGTAAGGTGACCAAGTTTATCCACAGGATCATTTTTGCTCCCTTTAATGAATGGAGGGAATTGACAGGAGAAGATGAAGGAAAGTGAACCAACTTTGTGTTGGTGGGTATGGCCTGAGAAGGGAAACCATCTGGCTCTTTTAGAGAGCAAATTGTTCCTTCATTTACATAGAGCTTTGGATAAAAGAGCCTTTAATGGCATTGATGGCATAGATTTTCTTGCACACAACTTCCATCTGTGATTTTCAAATCAAATTCTAGTCCTTAGTAAAGTGAGGGCAGTTTTTTTCTTTTCCTTACTTTCATGAGTTAATAGGAGAAAAGCAGGTTTACTTTAGAGTAAGTAAAACAAAGACTTGGAAAATGTCACCAGTTGTCAAAAATAATTCAATGTAACAGACAATAAACTAAGGGTTAGTGTCTTCTCTAAGGAAATCCATTGTGACTGGATATAAAAAGGCTGGCACATCTGGGTCAGGAAGTTTGCTACAAGGTTGTTTCCTTAAGACTTTGTTGTTGTTGTTGATTTATATTTATATTCTTCTGTGAGTTAATAGGAGAAAGGCAGGTTTGCATTAGAGTAATTAAAACAAAGACTTGCAAAATTTCACCCCTTATTTGAGACAATATTTCTAGCATGCTGATCTAGTCAGAAGGGATCAATAATAAGGTCACCCAGAGGGGTTTCTCAAAGACCTTCCAGGGTCATGCTGTAATTCACAGAGTGTTTGTCTTTTTCTTTGTCTTGTCTTGGACATGTAGGAGGCCAAAGGGATATTAGCTGTCCCCTCAAGGTAATAGAAGTGTGTTGCAAGGAGATGCTATTAGCTTGGATTACAGCATGTTGAGGACCACAGATAGAGTTCCTGGTTGCTGCCAGCATTAGTCTGTTTTGGAAATTATTGTCAGATGTGCATGCCCCCTGTAAAATATTTTATAACAGCTTTCTTTCAGGGTTTTTTTTGGAGTAAGTTTTACATATACATTCTATAATTCTTCCCAGTGTTGTGTGGTGTTTGTTTCTTTAAAGTTCTGCATCTAATTTATCAAGTTTGGTTTTTTTTAATTTCTTATGTGTCCATATCACACCAAGGAGTTTTTTTTATATATGTTCTCTAACAGGTGGTGTTGGTTTTGTATGAACGTGTAAAATTCTGTCATATTTCTGAGTGTTTTCTGAGTGATATACAGTTTGTAAGTACATCAACCATGATATGTTTTGGCCTTTGCTGAATCATTCTTGTTGTGTCTTTAATCATTTTTTGGAGTCTGCATGGAACATCTCTGAATGTATAATTATATTTTTTCTTATTGTGATTGTCTTTGACATGGAAAGTGTTTAAAGGAGAAGCTAATGGTGAAATGGGGTTCCATGCTTTTATTCAAACTTGCCTGATAATGTCCACTTTACCAGGTAGACCAGATAGGAAACATGACCTGAAAAGCTAATTCTACTTTACTGTAAACTACATTAACCAAACCTTGCAAGCTGGAAAGTACAATTTTCCCACAGTCTCCTTTACAGCCGGAAAATGCAGGAAGGGTCCCTCCTGAACCTCTTGGTCTGTCCACTATGTAGCTGCGGGCTATGCTGGCTCTTTTCTGACTCACTGATTTCCTTGCAGAAACCTTACACAGGTGATTGTCACATGACTCTCCCTTCATGGAAAGCTTTTCTTTCTTTGCTCTGAGTTCATAGGAGAAAGGGCAGGTTACATTAGGGTAGTTAAAACAAAGACTTGCAAACTTTCACCAGTTCTCAAAAGTGATTCAAGATAACAGAGAATGAAGACATGTAAGACTTTTCAGAAGATTTCAGAAGATTTTCAGAGGAAGTTCCAGTCCTATCTGTTTTTGAAATTATTGGCAGATGTGCCGGCCCTCTGTAAAATGTTTTATCACAGCTTTCTTTAAGGTCATTTTTTAGAGTAAATTTGAGATAGACTTTCTCTCCCTGTGTCTCTTGTAAGACAAAATATTTGGGTGTCCAAAAGACCCATACTGAAAATCAAGAAATCTCTGTATAACCAACCTTCTCTCAGAAGGCTGAGAAAGATGAATGTATCACTTTGCATTCTCCAAATTGGAATGAAGAGATAATTTCAGTGAAGGGACAATGGCTCTCTTGGCTCTGCCCAGCTGAAAGGAGAGAGCGTCAGGAATCAGCAAATTGAGGGTAAACTAATGTAGAAGGAAGGAAAAAGGGGCAACATAGAGACAAGAATTAAAAAAAGTGATACTGAGAGACCAAAAGGGGATTGAAATGCACAATAATATATGAAGGAAGGAATTTAGGTAATGAACCCCTATTTCTACCTCTAATGAAATCTTTATTAATTTATTAATTAATCCA